GAGTGAGGTTTGAAAGATTAGGGAAGGGTAATGGGGTTTAAAGGGGCCAAGGTTCAAAGGGGCGGAGAACAGGGGTGGGGTTTTTAGGTGTTGGGGAGGGAGTGGTGGGTTGTAAAGATCCCTCCTTTTCGTTTTTTTTTTTTTTTTGTTCAAGATGAATAAGATTGGTTCGATTTGTCTCATTATTGTTCAGTTTTGAGAAAGAAAATAATTTTAACTCGCAAGAGAGAAAGAGAGGGGGGGGGGTTGGGGGTTGGGTTGCATAGGGATAGCTGGCTTTTTTTAGGGGTGGGTGGTAGGGGGTAGAGGGGTTTTACTCTTTTTTTGGTTCGTTACGATTTCGAATTTAAATCTTTTTTGGGTCGTTTACGTTTTGAATTTAAATCTTTTTGGGTCGTTACGAATTTAAATCTTTTTGGGTCGTTACGATTTTGAATTTAAATCTTTTTGGGTCGTTACGATTTTCGAATTTAAATCTTTTTGGGTCGTTACGATTTTGAATTTAAATCTTTTTGGGTCGTTACGATTTTGAAATCGTTACGAAATTTAAATCTTTTTGGGTCGTTACGATTTCGAATTTAAGTCTTTTTGGGTCGTTACGATTTCGAATTTAAATCTTTTTGGGTCGTTACGATTTTGAATTTAAATTTCTTTAAGTCGTTTTTTAACCGTGAAATAAAACGGGTTCTTTTCTTTTCTTTTTTTGGTGGGTATTTTTTTTTTTTTTTTTGAGTTTTGCAGTTGAACAATTCCCCCATCTGTTACATTTTCGTTCTTTTATTTAATGTGCGTATTTTCTCTCCTTCTCCCTCTTTCGGATTTTTGTTCTCGTTTTATTTTCTGTATTTTTTCAGAGCTCATTTGTCTTCATTAACTTTTTTTTTCTCTTTTACCCATTTACTTCTTTGTTGCTTGACCTTATTTACTTTATTGCTCATCATTACTCATTCGCTAATCTAGATCGTCTGTATTTCCTCTTCCTTTTCCTCTTTTCGTCGTTCCTTCTTCCCCATTTCTTTATTTCGTTCTTTTCGTTTACTTATTCTCTATGTTTTTTTTCTCTCTCCTTTATCTACGTCATTTTCATTCTATTCCTTATTTATTATTTGCATTCTCTCTTTGTTCTTTTCGCTCTCTGATGTTACATCTTAAATATTTTTTTCTCAGTGGTCTCTCCTTTTTCACTCTCATTTGCCTTCTCCTCTTTTCCCTCCCTCTCCTTCCTCCATTTTCCTCAACCCCTTATTCGTTCTCTTTCTCTCTACACGCTTTCTCCCTCTCCCTGCCTCTTCTCTCTCCCTTTCCTTCATTCCCTCTCCCCTTTTCCTCCCCTTTTCTCTTTCACTCGCTCCCCCCTCTCTCCACCTCGCCTTCTCCCTTCCTTCCTTTTTTCTATCTCCCTCCCTCCACTCCTCTCCCTTTACTCTCCCCTCCTCCACACTCCTCTCTTTCTCTTCCCTCAGCCTTCCTTTACTCTCCCCTTCTTCTTCCCTCATCGTCACCTTTTATCTTTCGCTCCCCTTGTTCCTCTTCCTCTCTTCGTCTCCCGTTCATATTCCCCATTTCCTTTCTCTCCTCTTCCCTTTCGCCCATTCTCCCCATTCCTTATCATTCCCCTTGCCCATCCCCTCCCTCCTTCCCCCCTTGCCCCATTTCTTCTCCCTCCCTCCCGTTCCTTCCTCCTACTCTCTCCATTTCCCCTTCCACCTCCCCCTCCCTCCCTTGCCCTCTCCTCCCTCCACCCCCATCCATCCACCCTTATGCTCCCTCCTCCTACTCCCCCATCCCCCCCATCCGTCCCCCCCATCCCCCATCCCCCATCCCCCACCCCCCACCCTCCTCCCCCAAGAATGAGTCATACGCCATATACATATGACTTTGGAAACGCGAAAACGTGAGACGCATTTTAAACTAGACCTTGCGTGGTCTGCTCTCACTAGCTGTAAACCCGTAGCTTTTGTTTACGTGTGCGGTGTGTGTGTGTGTGCGTGTGTGTGTGTGTGCGTGGTGTGTGTGTGTGTGTGTGTGTGTGTGTATGTGTGTGTGTGGGGTGCGGTGTGTGTGTGCGTGTGGTTGTGTGTGTTGTGTGGTGTGTGTGTGTGTGTGTGTTGTGTGTGTGTGTGTTGTGTGTGTGCGTGTGTAGGTAGTGTGTATGTGTGTATGTGTGTGTGTGTGCGTGTGTTTATTTCCATACTATATAGGTCTTCTGTATCCTCATAAGAAGACCCAAGACTACACATACGCACAAACACACACGCACACAAACCCATTTAGATAGATAGATAGATAGGGGGATCTGTCGCTATATATAGGACTCATTGGCGGGGCAAAAAATACAACATAAATATCCAGCAGATAAATCACCTCGGATAAAAAAGGGTTAAACTCATGCAAATAAATACAGCAGAAAAACAGAAACAACAGCAAAAGCATCACTGAAAACAACAGCAGCAAAAGGCAGCAAAAAACAGCAGTAACAACAAAACAAAAACACAACAAAAAAAACAACAAAAAAACACAACAAACAAACACAAAACAATAAAAGCAACAAAAAAACAAAACAACAACCAAAACAAACAACAACAATAACAAAAACAAAAACAAAAGCAACAACAACAACAAACGAAAAACAAAAAACAGCAACAACCACAACAGCAGGCGAGAGACGGTCACGCT